AAATGAATAATTTGAAGTCTTCTTCGCTTGGAGTTGATTTTTTCTGAAATGTTAGTACACACTAGAACAAAAAAATAAATCTTCCAAAAAAGTGTTGGGAGATATATAAAACAATAATATTTGAAATCATCAAAACAATACAAGTTGCAAGAATGTAAAACATGCAAATAGCAACTCTCTCTCTACAATAACTCTATCCCACTGTTTTAAAGTATGACACATTAACTTAATTCCTTTACAATTTGCATAATCTTGTGCATAACCTTTATTCTTAAAAATAATAGTCAACACACTTATTCTCCACTCATCTAACATCTTTTTAGTCTTCAAAATAATATTAAAAAGTTTAGTAAGCTAAAAAATTCCTTCATCTCCTAAGCATTTCCACATTTCTACTGAAATATCATCAGGTCCAACAGCTTTTTTATACTTCATTTTTTTAAGGCCTCTCTAACATTACTTTTATTAATACGCCGATAAAAATAAAAATCTTTATTTTCATGAGTGCTAAGATTACTAAAGTCAACCGTTGTTGCGGACATCCGACGGTGGATGTTAATCAGAGGAAGAGACGAAGTTCAAAGGCCGAGATCACTCCATTTTATCTTAATTTATTAATTTTATTTTTTTTTATTTTAATTATGCCTTTTTTGTTTTTACCCTTATTTAAGAGTCTTGTCTTCTATAAGCCCAAGGGGCAAAGTTGTTTTTTTAGTTTCTTTTATTTTAAGGCCTAACACTGCCGTTGCCTTCTTTATTAGGTTTAAATGAGAATTTGACTTTTAATAGAACACAATGGAGAAAAAGGATTCATGTAGCCGACCCCACGTAGTGGGATAAAGGCTTGATGTTGTTGTTGTTGTTGTTGTTTTATTTTAAGGCCTATATATAGAGGCCCTTGCTCTTGTATTAGAATGATGGATTATTAATAAAAAAAGGTTTGCACTTGTGTTCTTTGGAGAGAACTTGGGTGAGATTTCTATGGGAGGGAATCAAAGCTTCCACTAGCCACAGAATGGGTCCGGGCTCGCGGCTTGAAGTCCCTTGGAGAAGGGCAATATATTACCCGTTAGCTGCAGGATGTATCCGGGCTCACGGTTGTATCTTTCTTTCCCTAAATCATTTTCTCCTCCTCCCTTGACCGCCTGCCAAAATTCCCCACTTGCCACCGGCCGATTCTCCCACAAATCCCTCTAAAGCCACAAGTCTCCTCCACTTTATCCATATCAACTGACGGCCATAAATCCCTCCACCTCCATAGCCGGTCGAACACCTCACTCCTAGCCTCTTCCCTCCTTCATTCCCCTTCGTTTTTCTAAATTAGGTTGAAGATAATTTGAAAAGAATTTTGAATTCAAATTCAATTAGTTTGAAATTCAAAACCTTTCCTAAATTACTAGATCTATTTTTGGAAAGTTCTTCAAATCAAATTTCAATTAATTGAAATTATATTTGATTAAATCCTTTCTCCCTTAATTGAAGACTTGATTAATTTCCTTTTCCTTTCCTCCCATGGCCGGCCCCTTCTCCATCTACCCGCCGCCTCTTCCCCATTTGCTCTTGATTGGAGTCAATCTTGCTTGATAGCCTTCTTTCTTATTATGGATGTGTTTTAATATGGAAAGCATTTGAATTTAAATTCAAGTGTATTTAAATTTCAAATCTTTTCCTTAATTTAGTTATCTTATTTTAGGAAAATATTCAAATCAAACATATTTCAAATTTAAATTGGATTTGATTTAAATATTCCTCCCTAATTTAAGGTTTCCCACTTAGCAAGCATTTAAATCTCTCTCCATAAACTCCCAAGGCACTTCACTTGAACTAAATCCTTATTACTCTTATTTTTTTGTTTGGCTAATTTATAAATGTAACTTTTCTCTTTCTTAGTATCTAATATATTATATAAATCATTCAAAGTTAAAATATTTGCATCGCATATTATTTTCTTAGACTCCTTACAGGTTTTTTTTAATAGTTTTTTTCAATTTATAGAGTTTTTACATCTAAATTAATTTTTATAATAAATTTTCTTTTTTTAATCTTTTTTTGCACGTTTTGATTCACCACCAACTATTTTTACTATTTGAAGTTTTTCTTTTGATAGTCCAAGTATATCCTTAGCAAAATTCTTAATATTCCTAGCTACTTTTTCTCACATAATATTAGCTTCCTTATAAACAAATAAAATCTTAAGTTCTCGAATCTTATTTTTAAAAATATTTTTATTTGTGTTCTTTGTATACCCCCATCTAATCCTAGAACAACATTTTACTTTATTTTCATATTATGCTCATTCATCTTAAAGTTTAAAACTAATAAGCGATGTTAGATACATAACTTTTTACTTGAAATAATTTTACAATCTTTGCAATCTAAACAATCTATTTTTCTTATAAGAAAATAATTAATCTGTGTTTTACTATATCATTCTTATTGGTGTGAGATACTCATCTCTTTTTTTAAAAAAAGTTATTTGCAATTACAAAATAATAAGCTAAAGCAAAATATAATATGATTTTACAACCTTCATTGGTCGCTACGAACTTAGCCACCATGTATGCTTTTAAAATGCCTACCTCTGTACCAACATGTCTTTAAATCTCCTCAAATAAAAATTATTTTTTCAAGAGGTGTCTTTTGTGTTAATTATCTTAAGTCATTCTAAAAATTTAATTTTGAACACATGTAAACCTACTGAGGAGCATAAGCATTTATAATATTAATAATCTTAGTATCAACAAAAATCTTCGAAGCAGTAATTCTATCAATTTTATAACATTATCCTTCAAACTATGATCTATCATCACACCTACACCATTTCTAGTATGACTCATACTAAAATACCAAAGTTTAAATTCTAAACTATCAATCTCCTTAAATTTCTCTCCAAGCCATTTAGTTTCCTAAATACATTGAATATTTATATGCCTGTGAACCATAATATCTACTAATTCCATTAATTTGTTTGTAAGGGAGCCTACATTCCATGATCCTATCCTAATTCTAGTTTTATGAAGTAGCTTCTTTGCCCACATACGCCCATTATGTGGGAACTATTGCCTATTTAACACTACACCCAGACGCCAGTGTAATAGCCTTTGCACACTTCTCATTGTATTCAGACCCGCTTTCAAGGAGTGCTCTAGCATTAGTACAATGTATTGAATGATTCATGTCATGATTATTTGACAATTTTTACTCTGGTTATCGACTATCTAACACAACCCTCCACTTTTCTCATCCAAAACTTGGGATATGGCAACGGCAATGTTGGAGAGAAAGCTAATGCATTTTTGACAAATAAAATATAATCAATTTGTCCTTGGCTCACCCATGCTTTTTAATTTTAACATTGAATATGTCGAACAAAGCTCTTGTAGATTTTTTAAGACAATACAATGAGTTCTCAAGCTAGTATATGTTATATCTATTAGAAGCGGTCTCGAGTTCAGGAGTAATAATATTCATATATACTTTACTCTTCCAGGAGTTAATAAATAGTATTGTATTTTGTATTGAATATTCATTTACACTAACTTGTGCAAACTTTTTTTGATACTATCAAACTTAGTTTTAAAAGTATCTGTTCTAATATTTGGATCTTCTTTTTTAGGGAAATGGTGGCAGCGGAGAAATAATATAATCCTTGTCTTTGTGCCTAATGAATATCATTATCTCCATGTGAGGATGCTTTTTTGATCCTTAGTGGGCAAATTGAGGTTGAAAGAAATGTGCAGTGGAGAGAGGCTTTAAAGTACGTACGATAATAAGAGGAAGATGATAGAGAAGAGTACATCACTTGCTTGTAATCCATCTGCGCTGACTTAGAGAGGTATGGCTGATTGATACAGTTTTCACTCTTCTTTCATTCCAATCCATTAATCATCGAACTTTTATTAAACTTATATTTTAATGTAGGCTTCGAATGATTTTCATGTAACTTTTTAATATAAATTTTTAATTTTTACTAAAAAATTTATTCTAAGAAGTAATAAAAAAGTTGTCCCAAACCATTAAGCTTAGATGATGATGGTGAGGAATTTTCTTGAAACTTTCATAAGAATGGGTAAAACAAACATTGGCTATAAGGAAAGGTGTTGAAGAAAGGTTTATTTTTTTGATAAACCAAAACGAAACAAACTCATTGGAGGAAGAGAAGTTAATATTTTACGTTGTCTCACATAAATATAGCAAGAAAGATATGTGTTTATCATTGTGGGCCGAGTTCCTCTTTTCCCTTTGCAATTGATTCAGATCCTCTAAGGCAAACTTCGACAAATGCTAGTTCCAATTCCGATTGAAAACCATCAGTAAGAGAAGTCACATGCCTAAGGGCATCTCCAACCGAAAAATTCATTTTTAATTTTAAAATGCAGGAACTTGTCTCTAGCTGAACTTAATTTTCTAACAAAAAAAAAAGAATATTTCTAGTATATTCTTTCTCATATTTTATTTTATATATTTTTAATCATAAATATTATTTATCAAAATTTTGAATTAAATCTATTATAATTAAAAAATATATATTTTTTTATCTATAAAATAATTTGAAATGTTAATATGTCATAAATAAATAAATAGTTAATAAATAAAAAATTACATTAGAACACATAAATAAGAACGAGAAAATTACAAGGCAACTAAACATTAGAATTAGTATATTGATCTCACAAATGATCAATTAAAGCATTTCGCAATGCAATGTGGGCGTCTTTGTTTCTGATTTGTTTATGGTTAGCGTTAAATTCTTGAAATTTGATATTTTCGTCTGTCACCTTTTCGACATCCGGGAGTGGCGCTTTTCTTGGAATTTGGCATGATCTAGTGAGATTGCATTCATT